AGAGAGAGAGAAAAAGAACGAAAGAAAGAAAGAGTTTAGTATATAGAAAACGGTATAGTCAGATGCAATGGGAAAAGTGACTCTTCTAAGCAAGAAAGGTTAATTCTAATATATGCTATCATCCAAACACACAAGTCAATTTGGTTTCTAGGATCATGTTACTAGTGAGAATCTTCCGCCTCAAAATTCAGGCTCATTCAACACTGTTATTACCACTTCTGAGTCTGAAAGATTCCATAGCGCACCAAAAAGGGCTTTGAACAAAGAAGAAAGACAGACAGACATACTCTCCTGACACATAATCAAACAAGGCCCTGAGTATGAGACTTAGCGCAGAAATGCAAGAAAACAGGGACAAAATGCCCCTTAGGGAGATGGAAGATATAGTTGCAGTGTGTATACATGGGGTGGCTGAAAAGGAGCAGGCAAAATCAAGGGAGAATGACAACAGAGAATGGGATAGTAAACCCAAAATAAATGGGATCTACTATATATAATTTTGCTTTATGATGAACCCCTTCTTGGCACGCACATGCACACACACACACACACACACACCCTACCAAACGCAGACAGCTCTCAAGCCAACCCTGGTGCCCACTCCTCTTCCCTTGCAGAGGACCTGACAAAGGTGAAACCACCCAAGGTCACTGTCTTTGAACCATCAAAAGCAGAGATCAGCCGGACACAAAAGGCCACTCTCGTGTGCCTGGCTACAGGCTTCTACCCCGACCTCGTGGAGCTGAGCTGGTGGGTGAATGGGAAAGAGGCCAAGAGCGGGGTCAGCANAAAGATAGTGTAGCTATTAGGGCTCAAATATCAAAGCAACAGAATAAAGTTGACACCGAGTTTACTTTTATTTCTGCTCTACTTCTGTCTACTCCACTCATTCTTAATAGGTAATCATTTTTATCCGTTTCCTTTGTATCCTTCCAGTGTTTCTTTAGGCAGAACCAAGCAAACAAACGTGTAATCCTTGTTGACTGCCTTCATTAGGTGGCATACAGGAACTCTGTTCTGCACTTGCTTGTTTCCAGTTAACAAGAAGAAGACTGGCCGTGATTATATGAGCACGTGATTGCATGGTCATACATCTAGCTCTCCACGTCCATTTACCCAACACCCTCGCCCTCCCTCTGACACCTAAGGTCCATAATGACACCTGTGGTCTTCCTCACCCACGCCCATTCAGGAGAACGCTGAGTTCTCAGCTCCCTATTTGTCCATATCTAGGGAAGTCCTCCCTCTGTGCAACTCATGGTCAGTTTCCTTCCAGACCACCCGAGAGGTTAGGAGCTGGGCCAACGGAACAGAGTCTGGGTGTTAGGGGGGTCTCATTCTCAGATGACAGGTGTGACCTCTGAATGGCATGGCCTCGGGGGCAGGCCCAGGGGAGAAAGTTGACTTCTGCTTCCTAGAGGGGTGGCTCCCCACTATGACGACAGCTTGCAGAGGGGCGGGTACCAGACTGGGGGTAAAGCTTGCCACTGAGGCAAGCATCCTCACAAAGACACACAGCTCTGAGGAGCTAAGAACGTCCTGAAGAAAGGGGATGGGGTGAGAGGGAGGTTCCTGGCTTGGTGTGGACCCTGACATCACCTCACACCATGGGGACCGGTGGGGTATCACCACCCCCTGACTCCAACACCCTCAAAGGACAGCTGCTCTGGTGGTTTCTTTCAGACTGAGGGGCGGGCCCATGGGAGGGGCGTTTTTGTACAAAGCTGTAACATTGTGGGGACAGGGGGCCACGGTGATTCAAGTCTATGGGAAACCTTTACAAAAACCTTTCTGCCTATCCCAGCTCCACAATCCCTCCACTTTTCTCCCAAGTCACAAGCCCAAGGGTGGCTTGGTTCAGAATGCCTCCGCCTCACTCCTGTCCACCTGCCAAACCAAGGCCATGGATAAGGACAGGCCTGGATCAGAACTGAGGCTTCCAGGCAGAGAACCCAGATGGAAGAAGGCGGCCTCACGGGACAAGGACTCAGGGAGACCCCTTCATCCCAACCCCCACTGAACCGGGGACAAGGTCAGTGGGAAGGTACATGGGGGGTGACCCATTCTGTGAAGGAAGGAGCCAGAGATATCCCTGCTTTTGGAACCCTGCCCTCCTCTCCAGGCCCACATCCCTTTGACGGACCCTCAGAAACAATCGAGAAAGAGGCATAGGGCCCTCTGGACGGATTCCGTGGCCCCAGGAGTCAAAAGTTACAAGTAATCTGTGCAATTATCTATAAAGCACAGGGGAAGAGCGCTCATCCCAGAGCCGTCCAGACTCCAGCCAGGGCTCCTCTCCATGCCTAACATTTGTTTTCCTCCTCGCCCAATGTCACTGTGAATACTGAACTTGACTTTGGAGAAGGCACCAGACTCGCGGTTGTAGGTAAGACATACTCAGGGTCTCTCCAAGCTCCTCACAGGGGACAGCGGTCCAAAGTGTGCATTTTGGAGTGGTCCTATTCTGATGTGCTAACTATGACTACACCTTCGGCCCAGGGACCAGGCTGACAGTCACAGGTAAGGCTGGTGTCTCCGGGGGGTGGATGATAAGGGAGGACTTTATCCCAGGAAAAGTGGGATGACCCAGCTCCCATGTCCTGGTTGAGGAGACGCCGTCTCCATATCTGCAAACAAATTCAGAGGATGGTCCCTGTAAGGGCACATTGACCCAGCCACCCAGAGGTCCTTCATGAACTCAATGCTGAGCCTCGGCGATTAGGACAGAGCAGGGTGGGGCGATGGTGCTACCCCTCTGAGTAGTTACCTGAGACAGGGGAGCTGAGAGAAAGCCCAGAAGCCCAGAAGAAAGTCATTAATGATCTCTGACATCAATCCATCTTCCCCTTCTGGTGGAGGCTCATATCTGCCCTTGCTCTGGACTTCATAGGAGGTCACACGGTGTCTCTTTCCCCCCGTGTCCGGAGCCCTGGGCAAACTCTGGAAGGGTAGGCAGGGCGTCTGAAGTGGGGCTGATGGCTCTGTGGGGGAAGCCCGCCCCAACCCCTCCCTGAATCCCAGCTGCACTCAGCAGACAAGGGGGTGTTTTGAAGTGGATCTGGGAGGCTGTGCTCTGGAAACACGGTCTATTTTGGAGAGGGCAGCCGGCTCACTGTTGTTAAGTGAGGGCTGGAGGGCTGGGAGCCTACAAGGTGGGGACAGGGGTCCAGACGGAGTCTCTATCTTGGGGGCTTCAGTTAAAGCATGTTTTTATTAGAAAGATCTGAATTCCCATCTTAAAGCAGACAGGAGGGGACAGGCTCCCTCTCCAGTACTGCCATGACTGGTGTGCCAAGGCCAGGTTCCCCTACCAGAGGCAAGTCGTCTCAGCTAGGAAGGGGTCACCTTATCCATCTCCTGTCTCCTTGAAGGGTGCCCTATCACGGCCATGCCAGATGGAGAGCCCGGGACTTAGACCGGTCGTCTTTCTCCCTCGAGCAGAAAGGAAATGGACTTGGGGGAGGGGCTGGGGGGTTGCACAGGCCCCAATTGAACCTCTGACCGCGGCATTTCGCACGGCACAGTTGTCCCCACTCCAACCCTGGAGCTAAAATTCTGCTAACGAAAGAGGGGAGCTGGCAGGTGGACTTGGGGAGGAATGGGAGGCGGAAGGGGCAGTTTTCCTACCAGGCTTTGGTGCTGTGCCAGTAACGAAAAGCTATTCTTCGGCAATGGAACCAGGCTCTCTGTCCTGGGTAAGTGACAGGCTTCCCTGTGTTGTGAGGTCGGAGTCCCAGGAGGACGCCTGACAGAGGGCAGGGACTGGGGAAAAGGCTCAGGGAGCGTGGTGAGCAGAGTCCCCAGGCGTTCCGGGTGGACGCTAGCTTCGGAAAGGAAGGCCCCACACCAGCGTGTCTGGGTTCTCCCACACTCGTGTTGTACGGCGGAGCAACCAGGCACAGCACTTTGGAGAGGGGACTCGACTCTCTGTCCTAGGTAAGGCGCAGGACCGGGATGGTACAGCCAGCGTCCCTTGGACCTGAACTCGCTGCCTCTATTCCCAGCCCTGGTGGAAGGGGGTTGAGTCAACCGTTATCCTGTGGGGCTCCCACGGAGCCGTGCCTGCCTCCCTTTGGTGCGGCTTGGTTGACGCTCAGTCTTCAGTCTGTGATCTGCCTCCTAACTCCCTTCTTCGCTCACCCTCCCTTCTTGCATGTGTGGAGCTGCCCCTCCTAAGCCTCTTTCCCCTCTCTCTGCTTCCGCCTTCCTCCTAATGGAGTCCCTTTGGTCCAGCCATGAATCTAGGCAGGGAAAGGTGGCCATCGTCACTCCCGGGGAGGCGGGAGACCTCTGGGCGGGTTTTGCCACAGCCATCTGCAGCTGTGTTCCTATAACTCGCCCCTCCACTTCGGGATGGGCACCAGACTCACCGTGACAGGTATGGGGCCCCATTCTTGACCGCTGGGTTTCTATGTTTGATGGCGATGATGGGTCCCTGGGACGGGAGTGGGGTGTAAGGACGGGTCGGAGCTGCCCTGTCCTCCCGGAGCTCGGGTGCCCCCTCCTACCCTCCCCGAGCTCCCCCAGTGCGCTCCTCTGGGTTCGGGAGCCCCTGAGCACTGAGTTCCATGCCTCATCTTCAAGCTCTGCCTTTTCTCGCCCTTCTTTCCGCTGTTCCCCTAAATTCCTCTCACCTCTACATTTTTAGTGGCTGTGTNTGCCCTCCGGCCCCAGCCCCTAGCCACCCCCAGAGAAGGATGCGGAGGGTCGGGGGGTCGCGCGGCGAGCTGTCCGTCAGTGAGGTCGGCTCTGCAAGCGGGGGGGTAGGGGATGCGGCCCTCACCGCCCGCGAACAGGGGCAGAGGGCAGGGGGGCTTTGCGTCTCGGTTTCCGAGGTATTTAGGGACAGGGTGAGCGGTGGAGAAGAGGGTTTATTAGAACTCAGCGCTTCTGGCGTGGAGACAGACTGGGAAGGGAAAGTCTGGGCTGGGGAGAGGGTGGGAGGCGGTCTAACCGGGGACAAGGGCTGGAGCCGCAGGAGGACGCGGGATGAGAGCGGATGGCGGGCACCCTGCGGACCCCGCTCCTGGGAGGTGGAGGTGGAGGCTGCGGCTGAAAGGAGGAGAAAAAGGGGGACAAAGGAGTGGAAGAGAGAGGCCAAGAAGATAGACAGATAAACATGAGTCAGCGAGGAGAAGCTCCCGCCTTGTTGATTTACTGTTTAGAAGTGTGGGTTTTTAATTAGATTTTAACCCCCTGCCTGTCTCCCGGAGGTCTCAGATCCCTGAGGGCCAGGGGTGTGTGTGTACAGCACCCACTCTGCCGTGGCCGGTCCTAAAGGGGGTGCATCACCCCCAGATGGGTCCCCGTCCCCCAGCCTGAAGTCATTGTCCTCGCACTAAGTATTCTGCTGTCAACAGTCTAGATGGAGCAGGAAGGTCATTTGTAGTTAGACTCGTTAAAGCTGGAGCCGGTGGGCTGAGCTGCCGAGTGCCCAGAGGAAATGCTGGCTTCCTGTGACCGGCTGGGGTGGAGAAGAGACATGACTTTAGAAGCAGGTAAACCTGGATCCCAACCCCTGCCTGGCTAATGATCGGTGACCTTGGGCAAGTGAATCTGTGAGAACCTCAGTTCCCTCTACTATCAATATCTTCAACAAAGCCTACCGCTTAATACTGCTGTGAGGCTTACAAGGGAGGGCACTTGGAGAGGATCTGCAAAGGGTAGATTGCTATAACTCAGTGCTTCCCTCGCCCACCCTGCCCCTAGTGATCCCTGGGGAGTGNTATCCTCAACAGATGTGTCTTCCAGTTTAAGTCATAAATCTGTTTATAAATGCTCTCTCTAGTGAATTACATGGGTGTGAAAATGTCCCCTGATCACTCCTGGGAGAATAGACAAAAACGTTTCCCTGAAACCAAGCATCAGCCCTATCGCTACTTCTAGAAATCTTTCAAAAGCTCGTTGTGGTCTCATTGTCACCAAGATGATGAAATCCAAAGTCCTTCAGATGGCATGTCAGACCCATGGTGGTCCTCCACCTCCTTACTCCACACTCAGCCTCACTCCGCTGATCCCCAAACCCCCAGAGCTACTAGCTTCCAGGCTATTTTGCACGCCTCTACCTGGAGTATCCTTAAAGACTTGGTGCTGATATCCTACTTATCCTTAAAGACTTGGTGCTGATATCTTCCCCGGCAAAAAGCCTTGTCTGAAACTTCCTTGCCCCTCACTCCCCTGAGGTTGGGTTAAGTGCACCCTGTATCTTGCTATCATAGTGCCCTGTCCCCACCTCCTTCATGACACCACCCTTGATGGAAACTACCTCTTCACTTGTCTGACACCCCATTTGACTGTCAGCTCCTTGATGACACTGATGTGTTTTATTATAGCACCCCTGGGATATGACATAGTACCTTGGTTCAGTGTAGAAACACGGTACGTTTTCTTTCAATAAGTGAGTGAATAAGGGAGTGAACCCAAAATGACCCAATTCGGGAGCAGAAATCACCCTAAGGCCTGCCTGAAATAGCTATCTGCCACCTACAAGACCGCAGAACACAACCTTCACTCTCTGTTGAAACACATGCATGCATCCAAATATATGTATATATACACACACACATGTGCATACATATACACATTTACATACACAGATGTGTACTCATTGAGCACCTATATGGCGTTGCTTTGCTATTAATTTTCAAGAAAATAAAGATATCCAAGTCCCAGTCCCCAAGAAGCTCACCTGTTCATAAGGGGGATAATTCACAATAGGAACAGCTGAAATACCAGTTGAGGCATTGCAAAAGCAATGTGAGCTGTGTACTAAAATGCAGTCAGAGGCTAGCACTCAATTCCTGACTGGGATCACCAGGAAAGGGCAAGAGAAGCTGGCAAACTCTTCAAAGGAAGCCATGGTGTCAATTCTCCACATGGGAGAGTGGCCGTGACAGTCAGAAGCATGAACAAAAGCCAAAACGACATGGCTGGGTATTTCTGGGGGCTTCCGTGTAGCGGGGTGCAAAGTTCAGAGACGAGAATCATAACACTACGGCTGAGAAGGCAAGCTGGTGTAC